TTGTTCCCTCCCCCACTGGGGGAAAAGGCAAGGGTAAGAGGAGTCAGCCTGCTTATAAAGTGAGAAAATAGTCCCTCACAGACCGATGTGAGATTTCACGCACAATTATAATATTATTTTGACTAAGTAGTATCAGGTTTAAATTTCTTATATAATTCTATTTAAATAAATAAAAATATGAGTAAATTATGTCACATGGCCTGACTTTTTCATTTTTCTTTCCATTAAGCTTCTAAACTATATTTTTGTTCAATTAAATTAAGTTTATGTAATATAATCCTTTTGTAAAATTCTATTTAATTATAACAATCAAATATATTAACCAACTAGGCCACGCCTAGTTGGCCACTATGTCTTCCTTAGGGTTTAGTCTTAAGGAGATCATAGGTTCAATTCATTAAATAAAATTATTTTTTTATTGTCGTTAATTTAAAATTATATATTAAATCAAAAATATAAATTATAAATTATAAATTAAATTTATTTAAAAATAATAAATTATAAATTATGGCCTTATAAATTAAATTTTTTTAGTGTTGTTAAATTATAAATTATAGATTACAAATTTAAAATTATATATTAAATAAAAATTATAAATTACAAGGATAAAATAGTCTTTTGAACATTTATCCTTCTCCATAATATCCCAAACAAACATGGGATTCAATAGAATAGTCCAATCCAGACCTCTAATCCGATGACTAAACAAATATAGGATACAAATTTAGTCCAACTAAATAGTCCCGAAACAATGTATCCCAGAACTAATAGTCCGATAGATTACAATCCTCCCTTATTTAGTCCTTCCAAACAAACGCACCCTTGGTGTCTTGCCAAAGCCTTTGTCGGTGGATAGCATATTTAGATCACCGAGATTGGTTTCGAAACGAGCCCACCAAACTAAAACGGTTTTTCAAGTTGGGATAGTCAATTTAAGAGAATTCAAATCGTTTTGGTTTCATTATTTAAAATTTTATTTACTTATTTATGCAAATGTTTTTATTTACTTTTTAAATTTTTTGAAAACTATTTTAATTGATGGTTTATTTTATGTGTATAAATTGTATAGTAAATATATAATAATCAGTGAGATTGAAATTTAATTTTTCTTTTCAAAAAAACTTATTCATAATTCAACATGTGTGGACAAGATTTGTCAGAAATGAGACCCCCAACACGTCAAGTTTGCATCTACACCTACTTTTCTAACTTAAAAACTAAGTTGATGTATTTTTAGAGAGCTTATGTGTAGGTTTTAATAAGTGAATTTATCATCTAATAGGTCTTATGAAAAAAAATTATTATAAAAAAAGTCACTGATTGTAAATTTTAGCGACAATTTATAAAAATCATAACAAAAAAAGTCACTAACTGTTAATTTTTATTGACGTATGCAAAAAATTATCACAAAAAAAATTATTTTTAACGACAATTTTATCAAAACTTATTTTCAATAGGACTTTATAGGAATTAAGTTCAACTATTATAACCTATTGATAGTTTACCCTATATTTTGAAAAATGATTTTTCCCCTGATTTTTGCCCCCCCGAACAGCCCTAAACAGATAGAAGAGAAAGAGAAAGAGAGAAAGAGGAGAGGAAGAGGGAATGGAGGGGAAGAGGGAATGGAGAGAGAGATAGGGCCCCTCTGCTTCCGCCGATCGATCGCAGATCGCCCGGCCGATCGTCGCAGCTCGTCGCAGCTCCGCCTCCGCCTCCGCCTCTGCCTCTTTCTTCTTCTTCTCTTCTTCTTCTTTCTTCTTCTTTTCTGATTGAAAAAAGAAAAAATTTAAAACGACGAAACGACGTCGTTTTGAGTTCGTGGGATTCGGGGGAAGAAAGGATTCGAGCTACGTAGCATAATTGAAATTATATAAGTTGTCCTCCTATTAGAGAGGCAGATTCTCACCGTACAGTTTGGTGAACCATCAACCTAAACTATGATAAAATCTTCTAACCTAAACAATTCACTCTATTCCAACCTAAATAATTCATTTTTTCTTTCTTTTTTCGATGTGAGATTTTCAAATAAAAGTTAGCCAATAGAGATTGTCTTAATTGTTTAAAATTAAGAAAATCAAGAAAATTAAAATTAACTATTGAAACTCTCACAAGGCTCCTCACTAAATGAGATGGGAGTATAAAATTCTCTTTATATGATTAAAACAACTCATTTTTTTTCTTCTTTTCCTGAGGTGGGATTGTAAAATAAAAGTTAACAACTGTTTGGACGTAAAATTCATTTCTAATAAAGCAATCTTAGTTGTTTAATTTTTAATAAGATCAATCTTAATTTATTTAAAATCAAACAAATCTAGGCAATATATTTTGATAAAACAGCTAAAATCGCGATTAAACCTATAAATCAGTCAAACTGAAAACGATTCAACCTAATCGGCTAAATCAAAAGACTAACCAATTTACAACAAAATTAATTAATTAAAACTTTTAAATTTTATTTTAAAATTTAAATCATGTTGAACTGAAATATGTACAATATTATAATATTAAATGAGAGTATGAGATTCACTTTATATAAGTGAAATAACTCAATTTTTTTTTTCTTTTCTCGATGTGTGATTGTAATTATTTTAAAGTTAAATACTACGAGAGTTTCAAAATCTCATACAAAATTATTTTTAAAATCAAAACCTTTATGTGGGATTGCAAAATAAAAGTTAAATGGAAGTTAGCTAATGTGAATTTTCTTAATTGTATAAAATTAAGAAAATAAAAAGAAAAAAATGGTATGAGATATTGATCATAGGGTTTCTCACTAAAAATATTTTTTTACTTGTATAAATGGGAGTATAAGATTTAGTTTATATAAGTGAAACAATTCACTTTTTCTTTCTTTTCCTGGTGTGAGATTGTAAAATAAAAATTAAATGAAAGATAGCCAATGAAGATTTTCTTAATTGTTCAAAATTAAGAAAATTCAATAATTTATATAAATAAGAGCATAAGATTCACTTTATATAAGTGAAACAATTCACTTGTTTTTTTTTCTCCCTGATGTAGAATTGTAAAATAAAAGATAAATGAAAGTTAGTTAATGAGAGTTTTCTTATTCAAAATTAAGAAATTTTAATAATTTTAGAATGAATGTTTAAAACTTCTAGAAGGCTTCTCTCTCAAAACCCCTTTTATAAGATTTTACTTTATGTAAGTGAAATAACTTACTTTTGTTTTGTTTTGTTTTTTTGTTTTTTTTTGTTTTTTTTTGTTTTTTTTTTCCGATATGAAATTGTAAAATAAAAAATAACAATTGTTTGGACGATAAATTTATTTCTAATCAAGTAATCTCAGTTTTTTAGTTTATTTCGAATTAAACAAATCTAACCAATATATTTTAGTAAAACCGCTAAAATCATGATTAAATCAACAAATCATTCAAATCAAAAACAATTTAACTTAATCAGTTAGGTCAAAAGACCAACCAGCTTACACAAAAATTAATTAATTAAAACTTTTAAATTTTATTTTATTAAAATTTAAACTGTCACCAAAATATAGAAAACAATATATTAATTTAAATTTAAAATTGACACAAAATAAATTTAAAATTATAATAATCTATCCCATGATTTATACGTTTTAAATACAAATTTAAAATCATCATAATTATCTCATAATTTTTGTATTAAGGAGCAGTAAGAGTAACGTTGAGACTATCAATATATCTATATATTTTATAAAAGAATACTTTTAAGGAGAGATATTATGAGACTTTCAAAACCTCATACCAAATTATTTTTAAAATCAAAACCTTTATGTGAGATTGTAAAATAAAAGTTAAATGTAAGCTAGCAAATGGAGATTTTCTTAATTGCTTAAAATTAAGAAAATCAAAAAATATTTTTAAAATCAAAACCTCTATGTGAGATTGTAAAATAAAAGTTAAATGGAAACTAACAAATGAGAATTTTTTTAATTGTTTAATATTAAGAAAATCAAAAAAACTAGTATGAGATATTGATTATAAGGTTTCTCACTAAAAATCTCCTTTTGTTTATATAAATAGAAGTATAAGATTCACTTTATATAAAATGAAAGTATAAGATTCACTTTATATAAGTGAAACAATTCTTTTTTTTTTTCCCGACATAGAATTGTGAAATAAAAGATAAATGGAAGCTAGCCAATAAGAATTTTCTTAATGATTTAAAATTAAGAAAATTCAATAATTTTTGAATGCGGATTTGAAACTCGTAAAAGGTTTCTTCCTAAAAATCCCATTTTTCTTATGTAATATATAGATAAGAGTTATTATGACAACAATTTTAAGTAAACAAATTTTTAAGTTTTACAAAATAAGAAAAAATTAGTATATTAAAGAATATAATTTATTACTATCATATGGTAAATTAAAATTATGAAACTTATAAAATGAATGTATTTATAGCCCAAACACTTTTTTTTTAATATATATTTTCATTTTAATAAATATGGACCAAACTACACTTATAAATAAATATGGAGTAAATCATACATGGACCTAAAAAAATATTTTGGGACCCTTTAAATTGATCCTAAAACCAAAAAAAAAATATTGAGCCTATAATATTTTACCAAATTTAGGGGCCCTATTTTTGGGCCAAATTTAGGGGACCTATGTTATATATGTTTATATGTTTTACCAAATTTAGGGGCCCTATTGTTTTTTATTTATTTATTTATATATTTTCATTTTAATAAATATGGGCCAAACACATTTATAAATAAATATGGGCTAAATTATATATGGGCCCAATAAAACATTTGGGACCTTTTAAATTGATCTTAAAACTAAAAAAAAAAAAATTAAACCTATAATAATTTTTTAAATTTGAGGACCCTATTTTTGGACCAAAATATGGGACCTAAGCAAAAGTCTTACCTGCCTTAAGGCAGGGCCGGCCCTGACAAGAAGTTAAAATTAACCTCCTAACCAGGAGATTGGCCTCGGAGATTTTGGGACGCAGGGTCTTAATGACTTCACTCCCACTCTTTGGGAGCTTTACGAGATTGGTCCACACGCACAACATATATAACTAATCTTTCATACTTATTACTATTCAGCAATTGATCATTCCTTGATCTCAACGAGCCTTCAAAATGATCAAACCCATGTTCTCTCTCTTCCTTCTCTCTCTACTCTTCTTCTCCTCAAACTCATCAACTGTCCACAACCCAATCAACGTCTGGCCCAAACCACGAACCTTCCTGTGGCCCAACCCACACTCGATCTTCCTATCCACAAACTTCACCATCTCATCCCCTAACTCCAACCATCCCTACCTAACTCCCGCCGTCAAACGCTACCTCCGTCAGATCCTCACCGAGCACCACCGCCCCCTAATCCCCTCCGCCGCCAACCCCGCCTTATCGCCGCCGTTGCAAACCCTAACAATCGCCGTCGCAGACCTCGCCACGCCGCTCCACCACGGCGTCAACGAGTCCTACACCCTCACCATCCCCCCCGCCGGCGACGGGGCTGTTTCCGCCGGCGCCAATATCACGGCGGAGACGGTGTGGGGCGCCATGAGAGGGCTCGAGACCTTTTCTCAGCTAGTATGGGGCGACCCGACCCGAGTGGCGGGTGGGTTGTACATCGCCGATTGGCCGATTTTCGGGCACAGAGGGGTGATTTTGGACACATCGAGGAATTACTATGGAGTAGATGATATATTGAGGACGATTGGGGGGATGAGTGAGAACAAGCTGAATGTGTTCCATTGGCACATCACGGACTCGCAGTCGTTCCCTCTGGTGGTGCCTTCGGAGCCTGATTTGGCAAGGAAAGGATCGTATGGTGAAGAAATGCAGTACTCGCCGGAGGATGTGAAGAGGGTTGTAGAGTTCGGGTTGGAACATGGGGTTAGGGTTTTGCCAGAGATTGATATGCCAGGTGATCTACACTACTCTCCGTCTTTCTACTTCTATATTGCTCCCTTTTGGTCTCCATTTTCCACATTTGTTCTATTTGTCAAAAATAAATAATCATAAGGGTCGTTTTCAGAAGTGCCACATAAGTTAAATTTTTTTTTATTATAAAGTTTATGATTTTGTATTAATTAAGTCTAATGGATTACTCTTGTTAGTATTTTATATTTATTTATTTTTTTGTAAAAATGTGTTTAGAGGGTAAAATTGTAAACTTGATCAGCTTAGCGAGTTAGCTCAGTGACAAATTTTTTTCAAAGACCTTAACTAGTATCAATCTGATCAAATTGATACAAAGCTCAAAATTAAAAATTAAAATTGAGTAAGTTAAAATATAGTACCAAAATGACAAACCATAAATTACAAAAATTGTTGGGGAAATTCTATGTATGTACCGTTCTATAAATTAGCATAATTTTATCACAAAATTTTATACCATCAATTATAAAATATGTAACCTCACAACAAATTGGCATAAATGTTATACCCAAGCCACAAATTTTTGTTATATGAACCATAAAATTTTAGAAATTTTATTACGTTAATTTGTAGCGAGATTACGCATTTTGGAATTAATGTTATAAAATTTTGTGATAAAATTATACCAATTATGGTAGGTGTGTACTTTAGGGTTACCCAAATTACTGGTGCAATTTGCCCTAGTTAAAAACAGACGAACAAATTGGAGTTTTATTTTATGACATACTCTGGAGAAAAATCAAGAAATAAATAAATAAATAAAAATAGTCCGAAAAGAGGTCAGGAACTGAATTGGATGATGAAAGACAAATTTGGGTGAGCTGTGGTGGTAGCCCACAGACTTACAATCTAATTCAAATATTCTAGCTCCCTTTTGTACTTATTTTTAATTTTTTATGTTTTTTTTTTAATTTTTTTTTTTGACTCCTTAGCATTCTTCATATTTTATTGTTAGGTTGCAAATTAAAGTTTTAAGAATTTTTAATTATGGGCAGGGTTCTCGACTGAGCTAACATGTTCAAAGTTTTACTGAGTTTATGTTTAAGTTGGGTTGGAGTTGAGTTGAGTTCAATTGATTTAGGTTTTGTTTCTGTTGGCTTGTTAAAAATAATTAAATAAATAAATAAATCTATCTGAAATAAAAGGAAAAAAAGAAATTGCTTATTCTCCTTCTTACAAGATGAGCACCATTCAACCTTTTCTAAGGTCTTTAAAGTAGGAATACAAAAATAGGAGAATTACATAATGACAAGAACTTGGGTTTTATTCAACCAAAGCTTATAAAACCATTGTTTTAATTATTTAAAATTTTGTCTTTCCTTGCAACTCTATTTTCTTATTCATGGATATGGTTGTTAGCTGGGGTGTCATATCATTATTTTAAAGATTTAAATTTGTGTATGGTCTTAGAACTCTATTGCTGAACCCTTATGCAGGATCACTTGTTCCCATTCAAATTTTCGAAGACTAGTAGGTTTATTGAAGTTATTTATTTATTATTTTAATAATTGGCCCCTTTAAAGTATTAAAGATGGCTTCTATCAATAGATATTGTGCGAGAGTGGATTTTCTCACTGTTTAATGAATTGGTGCTCCAACCGAGATCTACAAGACAGGGAATCGATGAGAGTTGCCTGACCTTGGTTAGTTAGAAAACCCTGGGTTTGTTGTTTGAAAAAAATAAATTTATTTAATTGTGTAAAAAATAAAATAAAATAAATTTTTATTTAATCTAGCTGAAAATAATTAAAATATTAAAGATATGTTTAATATTGCTATTACTTAGTAAACAATTGAAAAATGGTAAAATAGTCTTTTGCTAATTTATCTTGTCCAGTCCATTCAACCAAACATTGGATTCACTAAAAATAATCCTTTTCAGACATCTAATCCCATGAGAAAACAAACACAGGACACGTATCCAATCTAACCAAATAGTCTGGGGGATTCACAGTCCTAAGATTTAAGTCCGATGAATTCTAATCTCCCTTATCTAGTCTGTCTGTAACGCCCTCAAAAAATACAAGTATAAATACATCCACAAACATATATTAAGGCTTCGTTTGGGAACCCTCATTTTTAGTTAAAAAGTCAAAAAGTTACTAAATTAGCCAAAAAGCCAACAACCCATACCAAAAAGTTAAAGATTCTCTTATCTCTCTACTTTTTGCACATCTTTTCGTAAAAAGCTAAAAACTCATCCAAAAAATATTAGTTTTTTTTAGCTCATATTTTAGCCAAATAGCCAAAAAGTTACTAAATTAGCCTGTTCCCAAACGAGACCTAAACGATAGCATAAATCAGAGTGAATAGTCCTTTCATTTCCTGAAGTTAGAGATACAAAAGAGTTTCACAAAAGTAATGCCCTATTGGCTTACACCTTTTCAAGCCTTGGCTTGGTTACAACAAAATGAGCTTCGCTTAGTACAGATTTAGCCCTAGGTTATACAAAATAAACAAAACAAGAAGTTCTTGCTTCCCAGTGGTCCATCCAACGCTATTGTCTTGGAGGAGGTATGCCATCGTTACCTAAAAATGTTATTCCCTAATAGGGTGAGCCACAACCCAGTAGAAATCATCTAGCACAATATATGAAACTTAGCAAAGATATAAGTACAAGTGTATAAACAACGTTCATGACAAAAATCGTATATACTCAGAAGATATCAATTTCAAGTCTTAATCCGTTTACTTTCAATTCACATATTGATTACTTATCTTTCTCAATTCATGAGCCAAATTCACTATTTCACAATATCGGAACTGAGACTACAACTCAATTACTTTTAACCATATAACACATATGCATAAACACTTCAAACTTCCATTTCATGGATATTTCGTCCGCGGGCAACCGTCAAACAGGACCCATGTAAACGTAGGCTATATCAGCACTACCATTGCCATTTTACGGATATTTCGTCCGCGGGTTAGGCACCCATGTATAATTTTGGGACTTTCACCTAGGATACTTTGGCCAAATTAATTATAATGGAGTCCAACCCCTTCTCCTCCCAAACAAATATCCATACATATGCAATGCATTTAAAAGATAATCAAACATGAAGCACATCCTCTTTTCCACTTCCAAACTAACATACATATACAACGTATATAACCATGGTCATATTCAATGACAATCACCAATACATCAGTTTCAATTTACCTAATCCACATGTAATTTCTACAATAATCAAAGCTATTCTCCACCGATACCCCAGTACAGTTATCTCTAAACAGATATTCAATCTCAACAGATAGTTTATTCAAAACTTTAAAAAAATAAGTTAATACATAACCAATTCTATCATTTATGTCAATACTCTCTTAATTTCACATTTTCAATGCCAATTTCAATTTTTGTACCAAATAATAGTTCGACCCAAATAGGGCAATTTTCCTCTTTTTCCCAAATATTGCCTAAGTGTCAAAATCATCAAATTAGATATGGCACAACATCATTTTCAAACCCCGCAAACATTAATTTCATCTACATCCAAAACACCTCTTTATATTTTATGCTCCAAACCCTAGGTTTGTTTAAAACCAAATCACTTCATTGTTACACAAGAAACAATAACTAAGCTAAATATCATATTAAAGTGTAGAAAGATCCCTACCTCAAAGGAAGAAGATGAACCACACAAGAGACAAACTCCAAGAGTGCCGAAACCCACTTCTTTTTGGATCAAAATGTAGATCTTGACAAGCTCTATCTTTTTCTCAAAGGCACTAGGGTGGAAATCTCAATGGAACTAGATGAAATTCCAGAGAGAAGGTGAATTCTAGAGAGAGGCTCAAGAACAAGCTTTTTGGTGAGTTTTACAGAGAGAGAGACATGAAAAAGTGATTCAAAATGTCATCTACTCGGATTGAAATGCACGCAGTCTGCTCGAGCATGGGAATCCCCGCTCGAGCGTCAGACACAAACTCCCGCTCGAGCGTGAAACTAGATGCTCGAGCGTCGAATGCATTCACCCAACATCCGCAGACCTGCAAAAAAAAGCTGAGAGTTGACGAATCCCGCTCGAGCGTGAGAATGGCCGCTCAAGAGGAGGAGCAAAATTGTGAAGCTCACTTGAGCGTCAGAATGCCCGCTTGAGTAGAGAGTCCAAATTCTGGGCAACACAGGTTTTGAAAAACACGCAACCAACCTATCTCAAACACACAACTGCAACTTGATAACCAAAAATAGAGAGGGAACAAGGGAAGAAGGTATGAATAATCTCTCAAACTCATACAACCTGTATTCGGAACACAACAAGGGACGGGTCAGAATTGGAATCGCTATACTGTCCAATCAAACACACCCTAAAATGCTAAAGTTAGGGACTTGTGAAGGAAAAGATAAGGAATATATAGAGAGAGAGTAATTGCATAGAGAAGAATTTGGATCCTACTCAAGGAGAAGGAAGGTACCTTATATAGGCTTTACTGGCTTGCTCTCCAAGGTGCGTGTGGAAGAGCTCACATGCCCTTCTGGTTCTGACTAACATTGCACGAGGACCACAAATCAGTTAGGCATGCAAGCCCGTGTGATTTGATCTGTACCCATATGACGTAATAACTGTTTTTGTTCAATACCTGAGGATTTTGATGATGCGTTCTTTCTCATATGACCTTGAGTTGAGTACAAGGCTTGAGCCTTTATTAACTGTTCTTGGCCTAGGACCATGGTTCAGCTCAACCCGCCTTGATTGGTTGTGTCGGACTTAGGTGCTCCTCCTTGGTGGGTTTGACCCACTCTGATGTTCGGCCCAAATCGGTAGAGCTAGGTGGGTTTGCCCTACTCTGGGAGACTTAAGTGGGCTAGGTCCACTTTGGTAAATTGGGTGGGTTTGGCTCACTCTCATGTTCAGCCCATATCGGTACCCTAAGTGGGTTCAGCCCACGTTAGTACCCTGGGTGTGTTTAACTCATTCCCGTTGACTAGGCAAACCCGGACCACTCTAGTGTTCAATCCATGTTGGTAGGGCTACATGGATTCGGCCCACGCCAGTGCCGCAGGTTCGGCCTGCTTTCATGGGTCTAAGTCGGTTCAAACCCAAAGCAAAGTTAGCTCAGCCCGGTCGTGGCCTTGCTTCGGCTATAGTAACCTCCTTCAGATACACACAGAAGTGTTAGAAAAATTTCACAGAGAGTAAAATAAATTCACAAATAAGTGCAATGGGGGCAAATCATTAATTTGAAGTGATTATTTGATATGGTTATTCATTGAAAAAAAAAAAATCAATTTGGGTGTTTTATTAGCTATGTATTTTGACTTAACTGTTTATTTAGGTTATTATTGTGATTAGAGGTGGCGAGCAGATGGGTGTAGACAAGTCAAAATTAGTTGTGTAATTAAATCAACTCAACCCAAATCCATCTATTTAATAAATGGGTTTAAATGAATTGGGTTAAATTGGATACTGGTTGGACAAATCAACCAACCAACCCATTTATTTTATTGAACTCTTTTTCCTGCGGTGGTGGGGTGATGGAGGAGGTGGTGGAGGTAATGGTGGTGGCGGCATGGGTCATGACTCCGCCAAAGGTTATGAGATTTACTGTGTAGGTGTGGATATAGACTGCAGTTGTTGCTATGCAGATCAACCAATGGAGCATGAATGTACTGTTATAACTTTGGCTTTTTAGTTGCCTTGTGGCACCCACTTATAGACTCTCGAGCTATCGTTCATATTCTCCAAAATTGTGCATTACACTTCATTTTAAGGGGTGGTTTGGGATGATTTAAATAAGTGCACTTTTTGACTATTTATGAAATAGGGGTTGCGTTTGAAGTGATGTGGCAGAGAGTTGATGTGACTTAAATAGGATAGTGACTTTTTGAGGTTATGACAAATAAGGCCATAGACTTTTAAGTCATTGACTATTCTACAAAAGAAAAAGGAAAGAAAAAAAATGAGTAAAAGAAAGTTTATTGTAATATCAAATGAAAAAATAAATTTATTATAAGGGATGTGATAATAATAAATAAATAACAAGTGCAAGATAATTCTGTGTCGAGTAAAATTAAGGTGGTGGGATAGTGGTGGTGGTGGTGGTGGTGGTGGAATTGGGGAGGAGGTAGGGGGGTGGTGGTGGTGGTGGTGGGGTAGAAGTAGTGGTGATGCCCTTTTAAACAGGTGCCCATGTTCAACTCATTTAAACCCAATTTTAAGTGGGTTCACAACATGCAATCCATTTAAAACCATTTATAGATTCGGACGGGTTTAAACAGGTTTCAAATGGGTGTAATTGGCTGGGTTCACAGGTTCGGAAAGTTTACCACCTCTTGTTGTCTTCAAGTCATTATTATCTGAAGCAATGAGATTTGAACCATAAAGTCATATTTCAATATAGCCCCAAAAAAACCACTTGGCCAAGACACCAGTTGGAAAATTACTTCTATTGTTTGACAAGTTTTGCATCTTGTTTAATTTAATACCTAAAATTTTTGAAAGTATAAATTACACTGACCTACCAAGAGGTTTGGCAAATATTACACATGCTGTCATTCACATTATCAAAATTACTCAGGCCTCTCTTATCAAAATTCCTGTTAAATTTCACACTTCCGCCTTCTTAGAAACATAATTATTCCTGAATTATACAGTCAACTTTTCTTTCTTTTCTCTTTCTCTCTCTCTCTCATCCAAAACCCCCAATTGCCCATTATCAGTGCCTTCATTCCTATCCCCGTTCGCAACCTAGACAAAAGTTTTAAAGCCCATCTCCACCATCATTTCCAACCAATCACATATTTTGATTACCAATCTAAAATTTATATTATATAAGAGAGATTAATATTAAGTATACGAAGAAGAAGAAGAGGCATATAAATTGATAGTATATATGCAAGATTAATTTATGTATACGAAGAATATAGAAATGTACTTACGTAGATTGTTGGTACTCCCAAATCCATGAAATTTACATCCAAGTTTTCATTTCCAAAGAACCTTAGATATAGAAATTGAATTTTTAGTACAATGCTTTTAATAAAAAATTGGATTCTTCTCCTCAATTTAATTTTCTTTTCCTAGTAAAATCATTTTGATTAGCCATTATTTGCTTTGCAACATTATATTCTTCTAAAAAACAAAGTGTAAGTTATTACTTGTAGAGATTGAGAAAAGAAAAATAAATAAAGAGATGAATATATCATAATATATATTCAACCCACCATCTTAGTTAGACCGATAATTCCCCCCTTTTTCTCAATTCTCTTCACCCTTCCTTTTTATGCCCAACTTTTGATTCCCCAAAAACATAATAAGAGGATAGAACTGGGAAGTTCTTTTTTTATTTTTGATTGTTTGTATGGTATATTTATCCATAGGACATAGAGGACAGATTATGAGGAACAATCAAAATTCTTTGTAATTTACTTTTAATAATTACCTGGTTACATTTCAAGTCTCTCATTGCTTTACTTGAGGTTTATTCAGTATGCAATATTTATCTCCTTCCCATCCCTCAAAAGTTTGTTGACTTCACGATTATTTGTTCATAGAAAATAATAGAGCTCTATAAAATTAGTTTTCTCTCAATTTCTTATTCTTTTTCTCTCTCATAGCTATGATTTGATCATGGACATAACAAGAAAAAAGAGATTTAAAATGTCATCCCTTGTTAGTATATCTTTATTAACATCTCATTTTCTTCTTGTTTTTTATTTCTAAGATCCTAATGAAATAACTCTAAATTTCAGAAGATTTTTATTCTTTTATCTTCTTCTCCTTTACAAATGCGTGGCTGTCCTTTATCCTTATTTTACTGATGGCTATAAATTTTAATTTCCTAAGCCAAAAGAAAAAAATTTAGGGCTGTAAATTACAGTTTCTCTAGTCAATTTTGAAAGTAATAAGGTTGATTGTGGCTTGTTTATTGACAATCTCATGGGAACTTTGGAAAGAATTGATATTTGCTTGAGCTCAATTAACTAGGTTCATCTTGCTGTCCGAGTGTATTGAGCTGAATACAAGCTTGACCCCAAATGTTGACTATACAGTATTAATAAACTTGATTTGTTTGTTTAACAAGCAATCTTAAACAAGAATTGATGCATTATGAAGGTTATTTTGGGGCAACTTCCACTAGTCTTTTCTTTCCTCTGTCGTGTATATGATTGTGATGCTAAATTTGTTTTGTTTCTGTTGCAGGACATACAGGATCATGGGCTGAAGCTTACCCAGAGATTGTGACATGTGCAAACATGTTTTGGTGGCCTGCTGGATCTGAATGGGCCGACCGGCTTGCATCTGAACCAGGAACGGGTCAACTCAACCCATTAAACCCCAAGACCTACCAAGTCATCAAAAATGTCATTGGTGACGTTACGACCATGTTTCCAGAACCATTTTACCATGCAGGTTCAGATGAGATCATCCCAGGTTGCTGGAAAGCTGATCCGTCGATTCAAACCTTCTTATCAAATAATGGAACCCTCAATCAACTCTTTGAGATGTTTGTTAATTCTACCTTCCCTTACATTGTCTCCCTAAATCGTACAGTGGTCTATTGGGAAGATATTTTATTGGATGCCAATATTAAGGTGAACCCCTCTACCCTTCCCCCCGAGAATACCATTTTGCAAACCTGGAACGGTGGCCCGAGTAACACTAAAAAGATTGTTAGCTCTGGGTATCGTGCCATTGTTTCATCATCGGACTTCTATTATTTGGATTGTGGGCATGGAGGTTTTGTTGGGAATGACAGTTCATATGATCAGAAACCAGGTACTGACCCAGGTAATGGTGGATCATGGTGTGCACCTTTCAAAACATGGCAAACCATATATAACTATGATATAACATATGGGTTGAGCGAGGAGGAGGCAAAATTAGTGTTAGGAGGGGAGGTGGCACTATGGTCCGAGCAAGCTGATCCAACAGTTCTGGATCAACGCATATGGCCAAGAGCTTCAGCAATGGCAGAGACATTATGGTCAGGGAATCGTGATGAAACAGGCATGAAGAGATATGCGGAGGCTACAAATCGGTTGAATGAGTGGAGGCATAGAATGGTTGCCAGGGGAATCGGAGCTGAACCCATTCAACCACTTTGGTGTGAAAGGAACCCTGGCATGTGTAATACAGTCAATTCATTTTAGGTATTTGACTGTTTGGCTGTGACAGCCTTTTCAGTGTCTATTTTTTGAATTGAACTTACAGAAAGATATAATTATTTTGTACGATTATGATGATATAAGTCAATTTTTTGACTATATGCTTATAGATATTTCTTGTGATGATGCTGTCCAAATAAAGTTCTCGAATTCTTACTAGGCATATATGGAGACAAAGATAACTTGAGCATGACATCCTGAAGTTTTTAACTTTAGCAATGTGTTTGCATGCATACACAGGCTTACGATACTCTGAAAGACGATACAGGGTTGCGGGAGTGTATTGTATGATGAGATAGAAGTTAAACAACACTTGGTATTTCAATTCTGTCACCACTGTCACATCATTGAGCATATTGGAGAAGACAACTCTGTGATTCACTTTTCAATCTTCATAATCTGTTTTAAGTTAGATGTTTCATGTCAATATTTTGTTGTGACTGCATGAATATTTAATCCCTCCAGCATCCACTCTAGGACTCTACTGTTTCAGTGCATTATCCTAAAATTTTACTTTATTTTTTATTCCATTGTAGACTCAGAGCTTCTCCTTCTTATGTCCTGCTTAGCTGAAGTTTGGAACCAATGGGTTTAATCTGCACTAAGTTAGGATTACTATACATTGTAACTAATATTGGTTGTGATACTGGAAAGTGCAAATAGTTATTTGTTTCTTGAATTAGAAGGACCTTGGCTTTGGGCTGTAATGAAGTTACTATGTTTTGTCATACTAATAGACTAATAATCTCGCAAAACGTATGATCCGATGTTTGGCAAAACAAATTGGGGTCCGGATTGATAGTCCATCCAAACATTGTATTCCCCATGTAGGAGACTATTTAAATCCCAAAAGGGGGGTGGGATACAAAATGGGAGATTAAAGAAAAGTTTGGACTAATTAATTAAATTGCAAAATTGATAAGATTTTGTCAATCCTTTTTATAATCATAAGTCAATCTAAACATATGATAGGATATACAATCCAAAAAGATTAATAAGCCTAGGACTATTAGTCCTAGGCATGCTAATCCCATCTAACCCATCCGTCATAACAACCGTACCTATAGTAAATACAAGACACCTCAAGATAGTCAAAATCCTCTGAACTCTTTGGATGACAAAACCTTGTACAAATGCACTTTCTGTTTCGAACAACGAAAGGGATTATTGCAAGAGGAAAGGTACTGCAACTCAACAATGATTCAAGTAGAAAGAGCTGTTGTTGATTGTATATTTGCATTCATATGTTGCTATTCGTTACATGAGAAGAAATAAAATTTCCAGCTTCTCCCAACCTTGAGAAAAGCTTGTTTCTGTGCAACTGTTGAACATACTAAGCAATATTATCAGTGATCCTTCCACTACTGCAGTGTACAACAAGAGAAGCTGCCACTTCATATGTTTGGTTGGTATTGTGAGGTATCGAACAAGTGATTTGTCACCTCATAGACAGATTAGCTAGGCTATAATCTTCTCATAACAGGCACTTACAGATGGCTTTTAGGAAGATCAGTACTTTCTCTGACTCCTAGCTGAGATACTCATAAATGATGTGGAAAAATAATCTTCTAATTAATAAGATGAAGATATCAGTAATTTCTACCAAGGTTCCTCATGATTAATTATCTAAATTGGCTGTTCTTGTTTTTATGTTTTATTGTTCTTTTGTATGTGCCAGATAAGCCATGAAGAAGAAGATGAGATCAAGTGAGCTCTCAGAGCCAAATGCCGAGGACTTTTAGCAGTTGCTGATGATGTCAATGTAAAGCAAAATTTCGTTTTGGCGAACTTTTGTTCTGATCATATTAGAACCTCTGATAGTGTACATTGAACCATTGCAGTTGCTGAGGATATCAATGTAAACCAGAATTCTTTGAACCATTGTCGGCTATGTTGGCTTACATGCCCGTTGCCTCACTTTAGAATACGAAAAGACACCAAGTAATGCCTTTCTTCTTTTTTTATTGTTTTCTGTCTTCCCTTGTGTGTGCATTCATGTGTGTGTACATGCAATGTTGTTAAAGTTTATAGTTGTGATTTGTAATCTATTGCCACCGAAGTTGGTCTATGATGATAAACTTTCATTGTTGCATTGTATGCACTACATTATTTGGCTTCTGTTTGCTTTTGCTTAACTAGGGGAGCATTATCCCCTGCGGCTTTTCTGTTTTCGGTTATATTATTATTAGTAGGAAAGGTTAAAGCATGTGAGACTGAAAGGTTAAAGCATGGGATAGGTTATCTGTACAGGTTATGCCCATACATGCATGCACTAGCTGCCCACTAGTTGATTTTGTAGCAGAGTTGAAACTCGTTGTCAAGCACATGCCAATACTCTCATTTTTCCAGTGGTTCAGAATTTGCCTCAAAGTTAAAACAATTCTTATGCTCTTTTTTCTTCACAAGATCAGCCCAAAATTACTGGATCTTTATGCTGACATGGATTTCTACCGCTCTATTATTTTCCCAATGTCAGTGACCCATTCTTACTTTAATCTTCAAAAGCCCCTAATGACATATCAACAGTTAAGGGTAACTCATCGTTAGAGTCAGTAAGTCGAGCATTATCTCCTCCTCCTACTGTTAAATTTTGATGGTGAAATCAATTAAATTGTTTAATAAAACAGGTGTTAATTATTGGGTTCAGGTTAGTGAATCTCTCTCTAAACTCTCATAGCCTCTCTCTCTAAACTATTTCATCTTCTAGGTTTTCTAGGTGCATCGCTTCGGGTGGGGGAAGGGGTTTCGGCCCGGCCTCCTCTCTCCTCCTTCTACCCCCCTTTTATTCTTGCTTTCTTTACTTTTCTACTTAAATAACCTTGGAAGTTTTGTCTTTGCAACCTTCTCCCTTCTTGTGAGGTATTCCTTCACCAGATCTACCTTCGCTCTCCTCCACCTTTTTCCGGCGCCGTCACCACCACACCGCCACCTGATCTGCCACCACCCACCAGATCTCCTACCTCCTCGCCTCCACGGCCCTACCATCACCAGATCTGCCTCCACCCCTTCTCCACTTCCTTATCTCCACCAAATCTGCCTCTGGCAACTATTTTTGTTGCCGCCTTCCGCTGCCTTACTTTTGGACCGAAGGTTTTCTTGTTTTTCTTCTTATTCTTCTTTTTTTTTTTTTGGTGGTGTTTGGATGTGTGGCTAGGTTTCCATCGGTAGTATGATTGTTGCTTACTCTCTGTGTAGATGTAGCCTATGTATTTGTTTCAAACTTATCTATTGTCGAATTCTTATGATTGACGTCTACTTTGCGGTATGGGATTTTGTATCTTGATATATTCATAGCTTCTTCTTAATACTTTCTTTTGTGAATTTTTACTTTGTTTGGTGTAATTTTTTATTTTGTTGTAATGGGTTCCTTTGTAAGTGCAGTTTGGTTTTCCTCACCTTAATGGAAATTTCTATTGATAAAAAAAATAAAAAAATATGAGGGTTTAGAGTGTTAATTATAGGGTGTTAGTTATAGAAAATGAGTTGTCTCCAGTCCAGTTATTGAACTGGATGGCGCTGTTTGGGCTTGTGGGGCCCATCATGGGTTTTGCTTCGATTAGAGGTCACTTTGTGTAGATTATTTATAAAAAAAATCAGGTCATTCGGATATAGTTTCAAATGAAATACAAAAATTATTTTGAACCTCAAGGAAGGTCACTTGTATTTTCTCTAAACCTCAATGTAATTTATCCAAAAAAATTAAAAACTGTTCTTGGAACCGAAGCTGTGCGCCAAAAAATAAATAAATAAATAAATTGAAGAAACAACCAAATTGGCCATCATTTTCTACAAACATATCACCCACAATTCTAGTATCAAGATTTGGCCCAGTTGAAAATATCAAAACAGAGAAGTGTTAAACAGTATGCAAATTTATTATAAATAAAAACAAGAATGCTGAACAGCTAGGAAGCAGATAAAAATGACAAACTTTCTTAGCTATAAATTTATAACATTATTAACTTTGTATTATATCTTACAGGACATGGTTGAGATGTCCATTCATGGGGCCTTTAGTGGGTTATGTAAATCAGGAAGAAAGCAATAACCCAAGTGGTTTACTTCTCCAGGGCACCATTCTTCTTTCAACAGCTTTGTTCCCAACTTCCAAGTTATCTTATTACTTATAGTCTTAAAATTGGATTCAATGTTAAGATGACTCGAATCAATTTGAAATATTTCTTCACATATATAGTTGCCCAATTAATTGAATGTCTATGTGCAGTTGGGGCCACTTCTAGTACAGAAGATCCATGCTGGATGCTTATTATACTAAGGTAAGGTGGTACCATTCATTAATTTGTATTGTGCAAGCATGATTGAAATTGAATGGCTTCTAAGTGATCTGTGCATTAGCCAGTGGCCTCTCTCCTTAGCATGGTCATGTTGCATTTACTTCATCAATCCCACCAAACTTTGACTTTGCCCACCATGTAAAACCACACCAAAAAAATATACATACATATATATATATATATATATAAATATATGAAAGCAAATTGCCTCTCTTTCTTGCACTCAATGGCTTAATTATACAACTTACTACAATTTTTTAAATTTCCACTGATTTCTTGCACCTGTGAGCTTCCTCATAACTCTCCTTTAAAACAAGAGCCACACTATGATCAAGTTCCAAGTTAGTCCAAGCTAGCTTGACTCATCTTCACAATGAAGTTTTCAAGTCAAGCAATCCCCTTCATGGCTATTATTATGGTATTTCTATTTCTCTTATTTGCTTCGGCCTCAGAGGCTGCAGTCACATGCAGCGATGTCGTTAAGGACATGAGACCATGTGTGAACTACCTCAAGACCGGCAGTGGGATGCCACCAACTGCTTGTTGTGCTGGAGCGTCAGCTCTTGCATCTGCTGCAGCGACCAGTGCTGACAGGAAGACTGCTTGTAACTGCATCAAGTCTGTCTCCAAGAACATGAATGTGAATCCTTCTTTAGCCAAGGCACTTCCTGGGAATTGTGGAATTAGTTTGGGATTCACTGTTGACCCCAACGTGGATTGCTCCAAGTATATACTTCTACTACCTCTTTTATGCTCTAGCTAAACACTTCTTTTTGTGCGCGCGCGCACACACACACACACACCAAAACACATACCAAAACACACACACATGCGCGTGCGCGCGCACACACATACATGTTGAGTATTCATATTTAACCTCAATACATATAAGAAAAAATTTAGGAACATAGAAACCAATCAAGAATTGGACATAATCCTCTCACATGAGATGAGTTTTACCTTTTTTTGGGTCCCACACCCATGTAATTGAGTTATTGTGTTCGTTTTTGTAATCGGTTTCTGGGTCATTTTTTGTGAGTTCGTTCTGTAACCCTAGGTTTAGCGTTAAACCATTCTTCACCTTTTTCTTCGTTTGCTTTGCAGGGTCAGTTGAACATGAAGTCTAGAGCTGGAGAATGAGGCATGTTTCGAGTGATATGTATGATCAAGCTTAATCTATGTTGTAATGAAGTGGGATATACTAGTGTTTTTCCTCATTCCTCTAGCAAATAATACTACTATGAGTTGCTTGATTTTCGCCCTATTGTATAAAATAAAATGTTTTTTCCCATATCATCAGAATATGCAGTGACAATTCTATGTTTTATGCAGTTTGTGAAATGAGTGTACCTAGTTTTTCTTGGCATTTGATATAAATTGAAAGTATCTGAGATGATTCATAAAACCGAATGACAATCCGCAAAAGTAGTGTAGTCGTTAAAGTGTGAATTTTGAGATGAGTCGCAAAATCGAACATCTTGAGTTCAACTCTCGTTGGTATCTTCTGACCTTAATAGATAAATATCTGAGATTTACTCTACAAGGATGAGCCCAAAGGGCCTTGCTGGGGAAATTCTTTATCATTCAAACAAAAAACAAAAAACAAAAACAAAAAATAAACTCAGAACACATATGGTGAAGTTTACACAAACAATTGGGGAAAAGTAAAGGCAAAATGAAGCAATTTTTTCCTGGACTAAAGAGTAAATATATTGACAAAATGTTATACTAATTTATTCTCCCTCTCACATGAAATATGAGGCCCACATAATGTGATGGTGGTGAGTCCCATACCTCATGGAAGAGGGTGAGTAAACCAACCCAAGTTGTAGTCGTAGCAGTTGTTGTCATGGCGGGGCGTTGAATGAGGTGGTGTTGTAGTGGTTCATTGGTGGAAACCTGGTAAGCTATTACACTTACACAATTACACATGTTGACAACTTCAAAACTGTATCCTTTTCGTTTCCATTTCTGATATTGTCTCTCAATTTTGTAGCTCTCAATTTTAAATTTCTATGTTTGGAAAGAAAATGAAATTTTACTGTTCAAAAACAGTAACCACAATAATATTTGATAATTTTTTTTTGTTAATAGTTAAACCTTTGATGTTGATAATGAGGGTGGTTGTTACTAGTAGTGGTGGTAGTGGAATTGCACTGTGTAATTGTAACACTCAGACAGTGAAATTTCACTACGTATTTGTTCAATAGAGATATTTCAAGTATGTCACTATGTTATAAGTTTCTCTGTTAATATTTTCATTTGTGATGTTCATGGTGAAGGTGGTAGTTGTGGTGTTGGTGAATTTTTTTTCATTAATAAAGAAATTTGTGATTCTTTTACTTCAGTTGGACATAACTTTGTGCAAGTGTATTCGTTTGAAATAATTTATTTTATTTTATTTTGGAACTATGAAATTTTCATTTAGCTACTAGACTAGGAGAATGAAGTTTCATTATGTTAGTAGTTAGCTCAAACGGTGAAATTTTTATTTATTTTTTATTGTTTTCATTTAGGCACTCAGTTCATAAATTTAATTTTGAATTTTCTTTGTCTAAAAGTCTACATTCTAAAATACCTTGTCTTTTAGGACAACCTCCTGCAAAATGACCAAACTATCCATGTATATATATATTGTTTCCCAAACCCTAACAAACCATTCTCTCACTCTTTCTATCTTTCTCTTCCGCCTCCACAGCTGGCGATCTCCCTTATCTGCCTCCATCGCCGGTTATCTCCCTTATCTTTCTACTTTCTATCTCGCTATACACAGAGTCATGGTTCTTCAATCCTCGATCCATTGTCATCGATGAGATTGAAACCATTCTCGGCACAGAGATGACTACCATTTCACAGGAGGCCATCTTTGGCATCCATACTTTGTCGTTCCCTCGCCGGCAAATCCTTCTTCTTTATGTTGTCGGACTTCTCTGCCTTCCTCCGCTGCTCTCTCATAATCTTTTGTTTCTTCGTCTCCGCCTGAGAGATCATCTAAACAGGGTGTCCGATTGTGCCTGACAATTTGAGCCCTTAGTCTGATTCCACGAGTGCAATGTGAAACAGGATGAGAGTCTAAATTTGGAAAATCTATAGAAAATTCACTAATTACAAGAAATGCCAAAAATAGGCTACATTACCAGACTTAGAGTGGTCACCTAATCTTTTGGAAAAAACTAGAAAACCCATGGCTCATACCCAAAGGCCATGATCTGTTGTAACCAAAGTGTCTTTGGCTTGGGAATTTAGGTATGAGGGAGAAATGTCATAAATTGAGCACCCCCCGCTCGATCAAAGATCGGCTATTTCATGATATGGAGATTATTGACATGACATGATCATATAACTCAATTATTAGTACTATCTTTACTATATGGAGCAAACAAATATACACCAAATTACCTATTTTGGAATGTTCTAATCTCTAGCTACTTTTAGAGCAAAAAAGGGTAAAAAGGTAGGAATCTCATGAAAAATTGAGACTTCCACCCCCTGAAGAGATTAGAATCATTTCAACTTAGGCAATGAGACCTCCATGCAATGAACTATCAAGGAGATATAGCAAATAAGTACATAGCCTCATGGTAGCTGCTAGACGTAATGAGAAGCAATCACAAGCAAAATGCAAAGATAAAAGAGGCTTACCTAGTAGTCCTCTGCACCATGCCAAGAGCGTAAAGGGTTAAAAAGCAATGCATGATACTAGATGCTAAACTAAATGATATGCAAAGGAAATGGTAGAAATGCTTACAGAGTACTCTAGCGAAAACACATAATCCACTCAAATCCATGTAAGATAGGTTCGAGAAGAGAGAAACTCCATCTTCTCATAAAGGAAATCGTGCCTGGGTTTCTAACCCATAAAATCAAAGAAAAAAAAGTAATTCGGGCTTGGCCAAAGCCGCTATACAAACCTATACTAACTTTAAAAAATGGGAGGAGGAGGAGGAGAGAGAGAGAGAGAGAGAGAGAGAGAGAGAACTAAGCTAGCAACAATTTCAACCAACAATCCCAATAAAACTTCTAAAATAGAAGAAATAGAGTAGAGTTAAGCTTAAAATTGAAATGGAAGTAAGGATTACCTCTGGAATAGTACAGATAGGCCTCGGGGTGATCACAAACTCTAATCCAAGCTCCCTCTGATCAGTGGAGGTCTTTCAAACTCCAAACAATCCAAGTGAAGGTAGGTAGAAAGTAGTCCAAAATTCTCACCAAAATTCTCTCTTTGTTTATTCGATTTAAAATGTTAGAGGGGAATATTAAGGGGGATTAGAGATTAAGGGATCAGCTGAAAAGTCTGAAAATTTGAACCCTTTTTTTCCTTCAAAAATGGTGGTGATTTTATAAGCATTGGGCTTGGGATATACCTCTAGATTCCACGGATCAATGGTATATTCTAAGGTCCTTTGGACACCTCACAAGAATGCTGCGTGGCTGATGCTAGAGCAAGATGTGCCAAATAAGACTCGATAAAGCAGAAATGGCCATGACGCATACCCAGACCAAAGTTGTTTGGCGTGTTGCCTAGAAAATGTTTGGTAGTGTAGAAAGAGATCCGAGCATGCATCCACAGGCCAAAAACGTTCGGCACATCATGGAAAAGATACTCAGCCAAGCCAAGCTTATCCAACTGATTTTCTTGGAAGGTTTTCTCTATTTTCTCATTCATTTTGGCTTTCTAAGCTATCTCTTTTGGGAAAATGGGTCAAGACATCTTTGAAAACACACTGCCTTGCCAAGATGAATGAAAATGTACCACTTGTCTTAATAACATTTTGAAAAATAAGTTTGAGAGTCCAGAAAATAATTTGGCCAAAATTGATATAGGGCGATTTTGGTTTTCTTTCCTATCCCTTACTTGTGCTTGGAGCAACATTTTGTACATTCATCAGGAGCTTGAGGTAGAGCACCCAAGTCTTAAGACCGATAAAAATGAGGTGTCTACAGTTACCCCTCTTTGATAGAGCTCGGTCCATCATGTAACACTTCATATTTCTTAGACTAGTGGGATTGCTCTTGGTACTCTTATTATCGTACTTGGAGCCACTTTGATTCATTTTAGAGTATTGATTGTGGTGGAATCTTAATGGTAAAGCAAGATTGAACCAAAAATATTGATTTGGATAATTTTCTTATGAACAGTTTTCACTCTTTTACCTTTTTCTCTTTCTAGACTTTGAATTTGTATGTGAGGCTAAAATCATTGGAAAGCTTATTTTTGGGGTTTTGATTTAGACATAAGAACGACCCAAAATGGAGTCTAGACGAGAGAGTTATGCCCGTTTGAAATTTGAGTACCTGTGCTGAAAACAAGTCCAATCAAGCAAACTTTTGACCGCTTGAGCGGTCTGTTCGAGTTACAAAGATTTTGGGAGCTTTCTTTCACTACTTGAGTCAAGTTTTGACCACTTGAGCGGTCTGTTCAAAGTCAACCACTTTAAAGTCACTTTTTGGTCCAAACTTTTCATTATTTCTTCTTCTCTTCTCTCGCTCTCCTCCATACCTAAAACCCTAGGCCTCCAAACCTTGATTTCATCTATTTTTCATCAAGAATCCACAATAGATCTTGCATTAAAGTTGAAGAACAACTAAAGATCAACATTTTGACCGATTGTATTGTGATTTCTTCGAAGCTCTCTTTGGGTTTTCCTCTTCTTGCCTCCATCCTTGAGGTAGGGTTACTTTTAACCTGATATATCTATGTTTTGGGATACATTTGTGATATTTTCCTAGTTATAATTATGTGTGAGTTGATTTTTGTGAATCAAAGTGGGTTTGATGAATGAAAAAGGGTTATACCCCATGTTTTGGACAAATCATGGTATATTATAGTTGATTATTATTGACTTTTAAAGTACAAAGGAATGAAAAGCCCTAATTTTTCAAAAACCCTAGTTTCAAATTTTAATTTAGTATTGGGTTTGGACAAGTTGACTCTTAAATCTTGAAATTTGGTGAATAATTTTGACAATGGTGTTGAGATACGAGGTTTTTGAATTTTCTTGGACGTATGTATTGAGTTTGGTAGACGTTGAGATTGTGGAAATTATGAGATTGGAGAAATTCTTTAATTGTTGATATTATTAAATGTTGATGTGAATTGAATAAACCTTAGGAAAATTGGATTTGAAAACTCATGCATAATGTGCATTATGATTTTATCTTGTGACCTTAAAATCTTGTGGATGTTTGAAAAATGTTGAAAGAGGGTAAATAGCATATGAGTCCGGGTAGTTGATTCAGATTTTGGAAAGTGATTGTGTATTGTGTTGGTACCAATGTGGGGAGTTAAGGTGCCCAATTGCCCTGTGTTGAGCTTATTGCCAGACGAACGTGGGATAATATTTTTGGGTGTCCACTGGTCTTTCCATATTGTAGTCGGTAAAAGT